CAAAATTCAAGCCAACGAGTCAAGAAAACTCACCGGCAAATCCCTAAAAAGTGGTATATATACTCTACATTTGATTCGTGTCTTTCCTATTCGTTATTGCTATTTAATTACCTGCATTATCTTAAACATTTTAATCGAGGGCGTGGAGACCAACATTATGTCTCCAGTAATGTCTCTGTAGGATTGGTTTGATCTCGTTTTCGAAACTTGGCCGTGTTGTCAGGGCGACTTATTTCAATGCATCACGTCCGAAGTCCTCTTTCCGTAGACTTGGTGTAGTTTAAGACGTTTCACCAACATCGTAATCGGCATCTTCAGGATGCTAATCTTAGCACCAAACTACGCACCAGAGACATGTGAAGTCCATCCATTTACCAAATGTCGACAGCTGCCCCACAGCTGGATTGAACCCGCCTCTTCTGGGGAGATCGACCTTCGAATCGCATCTTCAAACACTTTCATACGAACTGAAAATCCCAACAATAATGACTGAATAGTTGTTCTGGTACATTCACCTAGTTTCCACCCACCTCATTGCTACAACTTTTAACTTGCTTATTTGCACAAAATCCAGAAGAACGAAAGCTTAGCCACTTTTCACCGGAATCGAAGGTGATTTCCATTGAAATTGCGTCTCCGTGAATGTTCCAGTAAAGCCAATGGACAGCTGGTCAAAAGGAATCCGCTGTTGTATTCTGGTGGAACCAACCATCGCATCTCTTCATCCAACACTTTCACTCGAAATGAAAGTAGGCTCCACAATCTTACTGGCGTCGTTTACTAGTAGATATGACTAACAAGATGATATCTTCGCTGTTTTCGTGTTCTCGTCCTCTTTCGCCGGGTAGACATGAGTTGACCGCGTTTTTGCAACTTGGTCGTGTTGTCAAGGCGACGAGCCAGTTGCGAAAACGAGGCTAAACCGCTTGTGTGCAGCAAGAGGAGAGAGAAGAACACCTTAGTCCTCATATCGGCTGTTGCCCTGCCTACAAGCATCAAATGTATGTTACAGTGCGTATTGTGTATGTGTGAAGGTTCCTCAGACTCGAAGCGTCCTCGTGGGGACTTTGATGCTTTGTTTTGTCGAATCGCTTGGCTGCACTTCGTCGCCCGCCGCGCTGGATTTGTCCTTTTTTTGGTCAGTTTGCCGGTCGCGGACCGGTCCCGAGGCGGGCCTCTGCTCCGACGGGCGATCGATGCGTGCCGGAGACGCCGGTCTGACTCGACGCTGTCTGAACCCTCCACCGGGACCAAGGCCAGACGACCTTCGGTCCTCCGGTCGCGGCCACACTCGTTCTCCCTCTTGCACTCTCCCGGCCTCTCACTCTTGCGCTCGTCCCCGCCGGCTCGTCTGCTCATTCGTCCGTCGGCCTTAGTCTCGGCTCTGGGTCTTGTCCGTTCGCCGCCGCCTCGTGTCGCGACGACACCTGTTGCTCTGATTGTGTCCCTCTCGGCCTCTGTGGCTAGGCTGTGACTCAGTCGCCTATCGATTTGAGGGAGGAGACCTGAGCTCTTGTGGCCACCGGAGTCGGCGAAACGGCCTCCCGTTGTCCCGGTTTAAAAGGACGGAAATCAGGTCAAACGATCGATTTTCACTCGGGTAGCTTAACTCCCCCCGAGACTCGGCATCGATCTCAAGCTGGGGTGCACGAAGCTACTTCCTCGTGCCGGTGTTGGTGCCGACGGTACCGAGCTCCGCCGATGCCGAGGCCACTCGACGTGAACTGGCGCCATGACGCCGAAAGGTTATCTTGGTACGAGACACATTCGCTTTACTCGAGCGTCGTTACGTGAACGCCAGTCAAGTGGGCAAACTTTGTCAACCCCCCCCTCCCCCCCCGCCTCCCTAGGGGTGCACACATGCACGCACATTCACACAGCCTTAGGCATGTGGAAAGTAGGACCGACACAGAGGCACGGGCCTAGGCGAAAACATGTCTCAACGCTTGCACCAAGTCGGCTCGTCGCTGTGTCCGCACCAGCAAAACACAAACGACCCATTTGAAGACTCCTCGTCTGCATGTCAGCCTTAAATCTGGGTCTTTTTAATTGTCACTTTACCGACGTTCTATTTATTTCTCACAGGGTGTTATCTGATTTTTATACCCAGACGTAGCTCCGATTGTTTCGTCGTAGTAACCGAAACGAGGCCTGTACGGCCGCTCTCCCCCTATCCCCTTGAATCGGCAGCAATGTCTGGTGGTCTATTTATTTATCTATCCCGTTTTACCACTTTTCGTCCACCCCCACTCGCTCGGCCAAAGTGAGATGTCTGGCCGAGGCGAAAGGCATAACAACTGTCCAACAATACTTCAATAATACACCCGGAGACAAGCGTACAAATATACACTTTGGTCGGTTTTTCTCTACTTGTCCAGGCGCCCTCACCACGACAGCGGCCTGTACTCGCTTCAAATCAGTCCCAGTAGCAACGCAAATGCCTCCTCGTCTTTCCGCCCCCCGATTCTGACCCCACTGGGACGGTCATCTTTCCAGCCAGTTCCGTCTGCCTACCAGATGAGGCATTGCCCATATTCTGCGGTCTCGACTGATCCTGCTCCACATCCAATAGGGCGAAAGAGAGAATGCTTGCCTCAATATGTGCACGTGTATGTGAGTGCGCTTGTGCGTGTATGCACGTCGTGTGTGATACGTGTGTGATGTGTGTGGTGTGTGGTGTGTGCAAAGTGAAAAATCGCCAGATTCAGTCTGGCCTACTCGGAAAACCGTTGAACAGACTTGGCGTGCCGAGGCTGGGGCAGAGGTCATCTCGCCGCCCGGCCAGACCAGATGAAGAGGGTGCAGAGTAAACGAACAATAAAGGCAGCATGTCGAACTCAAACATGCAGTTACTTACACACAATCCTACACTAAGACGACTCGCTGAGAGAATTGAGAAAGCAGAGTAGAAGAGGGAGTGGAGAGGCAAAATAGATAACCAAAGGTATAGTAATAAAATATTAAATATTAAATAAAAAATTAAATGATACGTATATATTATATACTAATAAATAATTTTAAATCGATTAATGATTTTAATGGGCCAAGAGTGACTTATATAGCGGTAAAATCAATAAGTAAAAGTATGAAAATAGAAGTTGTATAATAAAATAATGAATAAAATTATATATATATATATAATAATAATAATAATAAAATAACTAATTAACTAATATCAATTAATGTTATATATAACTAATATATTACATATATATTAAGCAGTAATAAATACTAAATAAATAGAATAAATTAAAAAAAGGAATACTCTGCCAAATAGTAAAACTGATGCATAGATAGGCGGATAGATAACCAAATAAAGTATCGGTATTCTTAACAAACGGGGCAGTCTGGTTTCTGTGGACGAGTCCTGAGGGAGACTGCAGTCCGCCGTCTTGACGAAGATCTATTTTCTTCCTTTTTCTCCTATTTTCCTGGTCTTCCTTTCTTCAGCATCTGCCCTGCCTGATGCCGGCTATGGGACCGATTGGCGCATCGTTGTAGTGTTCCTACAGACAAACCACGAATCAAGCCATTAGTAGTTCGTTAGAAGGGTCCTCCACTCAACTCGACGAAGGCAGGACTCGAGACCAACTTTGGGTTCACTTAAGGCTTTTGCCTGAATGAGTCCCAGCTGAGACGAACAAAAGCTCTTCCCGTATTCGTCCGAAACGCTGGAAGATGTCTCGTGGACTGCATCAGCCTGAATATCGTATTAAGGGCAAACGGCAACACTACATCGCGAATCAGCCAACGTCTTCTGGTGAGATTGCCCTACGAATCTCTTCATCAAGTATTTCCATACGAAATTAAAGTCTTCACACCAATATATATATATATATATAGCATTAAAGAGTTGCCAGGGTGTATTAGAAGAAGCACGAATCAGAAAATGATGGATCGGCAGCTGCTAGAACATACGCCTCAAGGATCAGGTGGGCTGTGGATCAAGAACTTATGGATCAACGGCCCAAATATCCTTGTCTGCTGGACCAGGAGCCTCATGGAAATGCTAAATCATGGATTATGGAATGTACAGATCAAGGTCTCTTTGTTCGATGATTTTGGATCTGTAGCCCCTGGATCAGTAGTCGCACATATCAGGGAACTTATGGATCATGGGCCCAAGGAGCTATTTATGGCTGCTGGATCACAAGCCTTATGGATGAGGTGGCTCCTGGATCAGGTACTTACGGATCGACAGTAGATAGATCGGAAACTTCCGGATCGGAAGCTCCATAGTTCAGTTTTTTCTTGTCTCAATGAATTTAAGCAACAAAGACTTGTGTGTCAACAGCCATAGGAACTGGGAATAATGGATTTAGAGACCCTTTGATCAGTTGACTCGTGGATCAGGGGATCTAGGGAAGAGGATCTCATGGATCACTACCTCCTGTATCAGCAGACCCATGGATCAGGAACTTATGGATCGAATGCTAGTGGATCAACGGCTTTGGGCCCATGAGCCTCATGGATCAGGTGGCTCGTGGGTCAGCCGATTTCCAGATCATGGATTAATGGATCTGTAGTCTTTCGTTTTGTAATACTTCGCCTAGAGCGTTGCCTAATTCGCGGTGACTGTCGCATAGTTGATCCTGTCATAGCCAATGCTCTTCTGGCAGCCGGAAAAATAGTATCCCCAAGATACAGCATCTCACAAATTGCCTCGAATCGACGACTGATGGAGCTCGTGTGTTGCAGAGGTTCAGGGCTGACTCATGCGAGGAGGGAGGCTTTTTCGGTTGCCATACCCCATGGAGCCACCCAATGGAAGATCCAAACTCAGGGGATGCCCAAAGCTGAAGCGAGAAGGTCAATTAGTCTTCAGATAATATGAGATGTATTCACCCAATTTCGTTGAAGGTGATGAAAGACTGGTAGAAGAAGAATTTTCCCACAATGATAAGGGTTGAGCTATAACAATCAACTACTATACTTTATTTTTCGAATTAAGTATTGTTTGAGATTGGATGAATACATCTCATATTACTGATTTACTGGTAGTCACGAAAACAATACTTAATTCGGAAAATAAAGTATGGTAGTCGATTGTTATAGCAAATATATGTTTGCTTCATCGACAATCCCACCAGAGAATATGATATTGCAAAAAGGCCTGGCCTTCCTTGAAAATTCACATTTGCTCTGTGACCCAAAAGGCGCTCATGGCAGTGTAGCCGAGTGGTTAGCGTGTCAAGCTCCCATCCTACACTGTCGCGGTTCGGACTCCCGATGAGGCTGCTGATAAGACCAATGCGAGGTCGAAACTGCAGTCCACTGGTGCCTGGATGAGAACAACTTTTGGGAAAGCAAGGCCATGTGAAATTCAATGTAAGCGTCAGCTCAACTCACATCATTGTGGGAAAATTTTACTTCTACCAGTCCTTCATCACCTTAAACGAAATTGGGTGAATACATCTCATATTACTGATTTACTGGTCGTCACGAGAACAATACTTAATTGGAAAAATAGCCTTCAGATGTTTTGTTATAGCGTCATTGTAGCTTGTTCACTGGTGTAGTTGTCATGTCGACCGAGTGAAAGCGTGTTATAAGCTTAATTGACGAATTGACGATTTGGAGGACGCGGTTGCCCTCACAATAGTCAGACGTACAAAATACAGAATTTTTTTCCAATTAATATGACAAGCGTTACTTTCATTATAGTAACAGTCATAACCATGGGATATTGTTTTGCTGAAGATGCTACAGAATACATGTTTTTGTCGGCACTCCAGATTTCTGAAGGAGACGCAATCAAAAGCTGGTTTAAAAGTGGCCAATCCTGGACTGAATGGAGTCGGATCCCAAGTTGCCAGGCAAAACTCTATCCATAAGTGTAACCAAAGGTGTAAACATACGCATACAAAAACATACAGCCCGGCATGCATTTCTCAACTTTCTCCTTGCTAACATCCTCATCGTTCTCAGGCCCTATTTTGCCTCCTACATTCACCTCTTCCTCGATCAGTCGATCGAGCTAACTTCACACACATTCAAAGAAGAAGCGCCAGCTGACGAAGATGAAGCTGTGTCTATGGTGGGTTCACATGTGCTCGCTTGGACCAGGGGCCAGGCTAGCGAGTTGGGCCTTAGTAAAAGGAATGAGATTATTCTCAAGCCCTACTAATTTTGATGGGTAGCGACTCCTACTACAATAAAGTGGAAAAATGCCTCTATCGATGCAATGGCTCCAACTTTTCTACATACACACACACACACACCCACACACACACACAGACATAGATGCACATCGAGAGGCCGCTTTCATTCGGGCTGGACTAGCCCGACAAACAAACAAACAAACTTCATATGTATGATGTATTCACTCTACTTCGTTTAAGGTGGTAAGAGACGTGGTAGTTGAATTTTCCCACAATCATATGAGTAAACATTAAGTTTTCATTGGATTTCACATAGTCTTGCTTCCCTACAGGTTCTCTCATCCAGGCACAAGTGGATTGCAGTTTCGACCTCTCCTAAACTGTTCTCATCAACACCCCCAGCCGGACTCGAACCCTGACCATACAGTATCCAATCTCGACACGTTAGCCGCTACGCCATATTTCCCAGAGTTTCTCTTGGCCAGAGGGCAGATGGGACTTTCAAGGAAGGACAGACCCTTCAACATATCAAATTCTGTGCCAAGTCATTTGTCCCTTTGATCATTTGTAGCCATGTGCTGATGATGGCTCCTATCACTGACGGTGCCGACTATGATGCCGGCGAAACGTTTGGAAATGTACCAAGTCCATGGTCCGATGCTGGAAATCACGAATATTATGGCAGAGGATACAGGACAAGGTACGTTCCGCAAGGTCTCCCTGACACCCCGACCAAGTTGCCAAAACGAGGTCGAACCATAGAGGTCGAACTATAAAGCAACCAAACAAAAGGTCACACCATCTTGTTCTTGATATCTACGATCTACGCGATATAGTGCTTCATCAGGTAGAGCAGAATTATGAAACTAAATGTAATAAATAGGATATTAAATTACACCATTAAGAGGTAATCATAAAGCATCTAAGGAAGTGATAAATTGGCCCAAAACACCATTGGACGCTAGAATGGAATGGGTTCTTTTAAGGGTTATAAATTGTGCTTTGACAAGAGGCAAGCAGTATGCCGAGGAAGCTGGTAGAACCGATCAATTAATAAAGGAGACTAGAAGGGATAGTAACTTATAGGATGTCCTCTTTCGTTGTCAGATTAGGCCAATTTACGAATCCCCTCCACCCGCCTTTTAAAACGAAATGAAAGGAATGCCGGTAACAACCAAAGAATGATGGCCACCTGCAATCTCACTTACCTCATATGACCCAAGTTTGGGATCGTTAAGAGGCTTCACAGGAAATGGAAGCGGCTTAACCTCGTTTCGTAACTTGGTCATGTCGTCAGGACGACTGAGATGAGCGTACCCTGCTCGAAGTCCTTTGCCCCAATAGTCATCACTATTTCCTACCTCGGACAGTTGACTCGGTACATTTCCAGACGTTTCGTCGGCAGCATTGATCAGACCTGCTAGGCTTAGTACTAAAACTATAACTAGTCAAAG